TCACCACCATCCCTAAGAACCTTATGCTTCAACTACCTCATATTACTTGCCTTTACTGAAACCAGTCATGCACTTTACACATCTGTGCTTTTGCACACAAACTGATCCCTCTGCTGAAAACTCCCACCTATCCTTCTGGCTGTGGCTCACACATGAACTCCTCTGTGAAGACTCCTCTCAGAGTGGTATTTGTCATTCCTATCTCCATTTTCTCAATATTTTATTTTATTTTTGAGTAGGAGTCTCACTCTGTTGCCCAGGCTGGAATGCAGTGGCCTGCTCATGGCCACCTTAGCCTCGGCTCACTGGGCTCAAGCAATCCTTTTGCCTTAGCCTTCCAAGTAGCTGGAACTACAGGCGCATGCTACCATGCCCGGCTAATTTTTTGGTTTGTTGTAGAGACGAGGTCTCACTAAGTTGCCCAGGTTGGTCTCAAACCCCTGAACTCAGGTAATCTGCTCGCCTCCACCTCCCAAAGTGCTGGGATTACAGGTGCGAGCTACCATGGCCGGCTCACTTTCTCAATATTTTAAATGTCTACATTAAACACCCAATATGCTTGCTATACTGGGTGTTTACCCAGTATAGCCAGCAAATGTATATACATTTGCTTATGGGTCTGTCTCTCCACCAGACTAAGAGCACCTCAAAGGAGAAAAGTGTATGTCCTTTCTTGCTGTCTCCCTAGTGCCAGTCTAGTCCTCAGTACACAGAAGATGGGCAACATTTGTTTGTTGAGTGAATGAATGAAAATAATGAGACAGTCTCTACCCAATGGGCCAGGGCCTCCAATTTAACCAGCAAAAGAAAAGGGTCAATCTGTGGCTGGAGCAGACACTAACAGCATTTACTTCCCCAGGTTTCCTCTAGCACTGAACACTTAGAAGACATACTCACACCTTGACTTACAGGCCGCTCAGTGGTCCCAGGAACTTCTCTCACCCCATCTCAGGAGCAAGCCTCCATTATAACAGGCTGGCACTCAGAGGTGCTTCTCGGTGGGTGGGCAGGCTTGGATGGATGTCTGCAAGCCTCCTTCCCTTCAGCAAGTGCTCAGAATAGCTCCATTAGCGTTCATGGAAATTCTGCACATGCATCAAGGAGAAAACAGCCACAAATAACACAGCCTGCTTTCCAAATCTCCAAAGCACATCTCTGCAATCATGTTACTTTCCAACCATCACCACCGAAGCCTTTCAGCCAGAGAGCAATTTGTTTCCAACTTGCTCTGGGTTCCTAAGTTAGCAGAACTCCTTGGTTGTTTATACATGATGCTTCCTGCTTCCATTGCTCTCCCTGTCCCAGTTGCTCTTCCTCGTAGCCTGGTGACACAAAGCTGACCGCTTCCGGCTTGGCATCTGTCCAAACACCTTCCCCTGAAGCTCAAGGTCCTTCAGACCTGGTCCTGGCCCTTGCCTTCCTCTCCTGCCTCATCTTCAGCTACTCTCCTGCATGTTCCTCCACTCCAGCCAAACCAGCCTCTTCCAGATTATCTCCACCTCTGGGTTTTTTCCTTACGCCAGGCATGTATTCCAACCAATTAATTACTTTTGCCTTTTAAGACTGAACACCGGCTGGGCTCAGTGGCTCAGTCTGTCATCCCAGCACTTTGGGAGGCCAAGGTGAGTGGACTGCCTGAGCCCATGGGTTCGAGACCAGCCAGGGCAACTTGACGAGACCACATCTCTATAATAAAAAAAAAATTAGCCGGCATGGTAGCACGTGCCTGTAGTTCCTGCTACTTGGAAGGCTGAGGTGGAAGGATCGCCGGAGTCCAGCAGATCAATGCTGGGGTGGCTGTGAGTGTGCCATTGCACTCCAGCCTGGGGACGGAGTGAGACTCCAACTCAAAAAAAAAAAAAAAAAAAAAAAAAAGACTGAGCACAGGCATCACCTCCCCTAGAAAGCATTCCCTGATTGAATTAGATGCCTCTCCTGTACACCAACTAGTTATTCAACTATTCCATAAATAGTTATGGATTTCTAACTTATCCCAGGTGCTGGAGACTTAGTAGGCAACAGAACAAAGATTCTGCTTTAGCACTGAGTACCACATATTCTCACTTATAAGTGGACCTTGAACAATTGTCCTAATACTATAAGAAAGGGATTGGCAGTAGTGGGAAACTGCCAGGGGAGGGTGGGGGGCACACCTCATCAACAAGGGTATCTGCATAATGAACATTTGTATACCTAACCCTGAACTGTACTTCCCACCTTTAAAATAAAAACTAAAAAAGACTCTGCTTTCATGAAGCTTAAATTCTTAAAGTGGGAAGATAGACAATAAATAAATAACCCCATCAAGGGGTCATAAATACTCTGAAGAAAAATAAAGCAGAGTAGAGGATTAAAGAATAGTTGGGAGGGAGAGCTATTTGATTTAAGGTGGTCAGAAAAGCCTTTCTGATGAGGAAAAGAGACCTGAATCAAGTGAGGAAGGAATGTGCAGATATCTGGGGAAAGAACACTGCAATCTAAACAGTAAAGGCCCTGGGCAGGAGCACACTTAGGATGTGTGTGCACAGTTGCAAGGGAGTTTGTAGGAACATACAGGTGTGAGAAAGGGAGAGAATCCAGAAAACGAGGTCAAAGAGGCAGCCAGGGGCCAGACCCCAGTGGGCCTTGCAGAACATGGTACGGGACTGGGATTTCACACCGAGATGGGAGCCACTGGGAGGCTCTGAACAGAGAAGAGATATGACTGGTCTCACATTTAAAAGGTTCTTTCTGGCTACTCTGTGAATAACAGACTAAGGGGGAACAGGGAAGAGCAAAGGCACCCGGACATCCATTAATTTTACAAAATGTATTGGCTACTAGGATGGACAAGCACTGTTCTAGGCTCTGAGATAACCAGTAAGACAGGACTCTCTGACTTCGGGGAGGTTCTCACTAGGAGGGAGACAGAATCATAAGCATAACCACAGAACACATGGGTATATATGGAACAGTACACAGGGTACTGTGGTAGGGGCTAGAAAAGGAATTAGGTAGAGTGGCATTCCAGGAAGGGAACACAGCATGTGAAAACCTCAGATGCTTCCAAAAACCTGCTGAGGTAAAGAGCTACAAGCAACCTGGGGAAGATGGGTCAAATCTGGGGCAGGGATTGGAAGAAGGTGAGGATGGGGAGAAAGGAGGGGACCAGATCATAGATAGTTTTTCAACCAATGTGAAGTACGTGTATTTTATCCTACAGGTGACAGGAACCCTTTGGCAGATGTTAATGGGGAAGTGATGGTGGGATTTCCAGTCTTGATAAGTTGCTTTGGAGAGAGGTGAATTCGAAGCAGGTAAGACTGGAGGCCAAGGGACAGTTAGGAGGCCATGTAGTTATCTGGGCAAGAGAGGATACAGTCCTGCAGTGGTACTAGAGATGGAGAAGAGGGGGGAGATTCTAAGTATGTGTGGGAAGTAAAACCATCAGGACCTGGTTGGCTGCGGGTGAGAGATGGGGGGGCGTCTAGGTTGATGCCCTAGGTTCCCAGCTGGAGTGCCTGGGTAGCCAATATTGTTACATCTGAGATGTCCATGGGACATCCAGGAGATGTCTGAAACTCACGGACAGGGCTGAAGATACAAGCTGGCATGCCACTAGCATGTAAATGATGCCTGGGAACATGAGAGTGGATGAAATCAACCAAGGAGACCATTTACAATCAAACAGACTTCGGATTTGGATCTCAGATCTGTCACTTGCTATCTATGTGGCCTTGAGTAAGTAACTATAACTTTCTGAGCCCCGTTTTCTCATCTTTTTCTTGAGTTGGAGTCTCACTCTGTTGCCCAGGCTGGAATGTAGTGGGTATGTTCACAGCCACTGCAGTCTTGACCTGCTGGGCTCAGGTGATCCTTCTACCTCAGTCTTCCAAGTAGCTGGAATTACAGGCATATGCCACCATGCCTGGCAAATTTTTAAATTTTATTGTAGAGATGAGGTCTCACCAAGTTGCCCAGACTGGTCTCGAACCCCTGGGTTCAGGCAATCCTCTCACCTTGGCCTCCCAAAGTGCTGGGATTATAGGCATGAGCCACCAAACCTGGTCTGCATTTTCTCATCCTTAAGTGGGTATTTTCTTTTTGTAAAATGGTTACCACAGTGCTGGGCTCAGAGCAAATGTTCAATTATTACTTTAGCTCAATAGTTACCAGCAGGCAGAAACTGAACAAGATCCTTCTGCCAGGGCCTCAAGGTCTCATCTGTAGCTACTGCCCTGTACCCACTGTACCCCACAGAATGTGTGCTCAGTGAATAGTTGCTGAATAAATGCATAAATCTATATAACCAAACAACACCTACTCATTACAGCAAGTAAGAGAATTAAACGGGATTTTTATAAAATTACAAAAAGATCCATGAAAATGTCAATAAACTGACTTCGGAAGAGTATCTAGCACTTAGAAGGTAAACAAGAATGTCAGTCCCTTCCCTTCTGCCCTTGTTTATCCCATTCTGTTTTTTTGGACCTTAAATCTCTTTCTTTCTATTGGCCCTTCCTTTCAGATTTCAAACATGTTCCACTCTCTCTTAATTAATTAATTAATTAGAGTCAGAGTCTCATTCTGTTGCCCAGGCTGGAGTGCAGTGGCACAATCATAGCTTACCACAGCCTCAATTTCCTGGGCTCAGGTAAATCCTTCTACCTCAGCCTCCCAAGTACCTGGGACTATAGGTACACACCACTACACTTGGTTAATTCCTTTTTTTTTTTTTTTTGAGAAGAGGTCTTGCTAAATTGCTCAGGCTGGTCTCAAATTCCTGGTCTCAAGCAATCCTCTCACCTTGGCCTCCCAAAGTGCTGGGATTACAGGCATGAGCTACCATACCTGGTGTCTCCCCTAATTTAAAAAAAAAGCTCCCTTGGGTCTCATTACCCCCCTCAAATTTGCTGTCCCATCATTCTTTAACTTCACCAACAGTACCCTTTCTCAACCCAAAACGCTTGTCAATGAACAAACCCCACTTTTTGTTTTGGAAAAAAAGCCCAAATTTATTACTTTAAAAAAGCAGATATAATTTACACAATTGTTTAAGCAGTCCTGTATAGAGATGTTTTATTTTAACATATATATGTATACATTTTTTCTACTGCAGTAATTCATTTCAAGAGAAATTTCATTATGTATCTTCCACAGAGCCCTAAGCCGAGACAGCCAATGTATTCAAATAAGCCCCGAGGTGTGGGAGGCTTCAGGCCAGTTCCTCATTAGAAGCCTCAGCATGGGGGCTCTGGAGACCAACGCGGAAGGTCTTCCAGGGAGAGCTGAAACGTTCAGATAAGTGAGCTCTGGGAAGAAGGGGTAGTCGGTTGGCTCTGGCAGGCTCCGGCAGGCTCACCCCTGGGGTAGAGCAAAGAGAACAGACAGGGGAGTTCTGAGAGGCACCAGAGCTATATAAACTCAAGGGGATGGAACCAAGTGAGCGGCAGCGGTAATTGAGTTTCAGTTACCTGCAGGGTGGTGAAATAAAGCAGTAACTTCATCTGCCTGACATGGGGGAAGTTTAGAGGTGTCCTTGGCATACTCACAGTGAAATCTGTCACCCTTTCACCGTGTTGGGTGACGGCAACCGTATGGCGCTTCCCAGTGACAGCCCATGTGTGTCCTGTTAGGCAGCCCTGGCGCACTACAGCTAATGAAGCATGTTCCTACAGGCCTGTCTCCCAGAGCTTTCTGCATCCTCTGTCTGCAAAGGAACGGCACCACGGGAAAATCTAGCATAGCCATCACCCAAACTCAAAAGCACCTTTGAACGGCAGAGAGAGACCCATTTTCCTCTCTGCCCGGCCCAGGGTTGGACCAGCCTCAGGTCACTTTTTGTGGGTCTGTACAAACGTGCCGACCGGCAGCGAGCCGTTCTTCACCTGAGCCCGGATTTCAGCTCGATGCTTTAATGTGAAGACCAGGGCTCTCACCGTCCGCCGGTACGGCCCATTAATGAGGCGGGAGCAGAGATGAAACGTTTCCCGCTCAATATTTTCAACCAGTAGGTGATCCATCTAAAAAACAGCAAAATTATCAAATTAGGACCTTGCATTGCATAAGGATTAAAAGCAAGAGAGGCTGGAGCACTCTGCTCAGAGGCCTCCATTAATCAACTGGAATTCAAGGACATCTACTTCCTGTCACAAGAGAAACAGGAAGAGCAAATTAATTCCACCCTGGCAATTAAAGAACAAGGCCATGTGCTTTGTGACAGGGACCTCATTCACACAACCCCTGCCGGGTGGTAATATTTGCCATTATAACAGGAAACTGGCCTGAACTAAGCAACGGGTACTGGGCCCTATACTTTCCCAACCAGGAAACGAAGACCAAGAATAATAAATCAGTATAACTGTTCATACTTTTTTGTGTGTCTTTAGAGTGCCTTTTAGCTCCTTATAGCATGTTGGAAACACTGGGTCTGGATCCTAATATGTGTATATAGCAGTTTGTAAATCACTTTTCACATTCTGTGCTTATAACTCCTATTATCACATTTCACAGATGAGGAGACAGGTTCAAAGGTAAAGTTTCAAAGTCTTACAACTACTAAGAGATAGCACTGGGACTCTGACCCGGGATCCTCGACTCCAAAGTTCATGTTTCTTTCCTTTCACCTCACTAACCTTCCCTCCAACATTCCAAGAGACTGGCTGAGATTGGAGAGACTCCTGCAGTTTCAATTAAGCAGAGTAGGCTTAGGGGATGGGTCCTGTAGCAATTCTGGGGTGGTCTGGCTCAGGCCCAAGTCATCTTGAGGCCTCAGATCTAATCGAAGCAGAACGGGCCTGCGACTTTGTCTACATGGTTTGGATCCAGGCCAGGTTGGGATGCTAGTCAGAGACTCCCAGCCCTACCTTCCCCTCCAGGTCCATCTCCAGCTATTCCCCTCCCAACCCTGACCAGGCCCAGCCTGAGTGTTTCATTCTCAGCCCTTTCCCACATCTTTCTACCTCTGCACAGATAAGCAAGACACAATTTTCTGTAGGAAATACATTCCTATTTGTATGTCAAAGCTTAGGTATAAACAACCAACCACAAAATAGCGCTAGTGCAAAAGACTTAAAGTTCTTCAGGCTGTCACATGTCCTGAGCTTCCCTTAGTCATTATCATAATGTGATATAATGATCTATGTTTTGTCTCCCTCAGTAGTATGTTCCTTGAAAACAGGAAACAGATTTATCTCTCTCACTTCCCTTTGTCCTTCATTCCTTCTCTCCCTACCTCAGCCGCTCATCCAAATATTTATTCAGCACTTACTATGTGCCAGGCTCTGTGCTCAGACTGAAGAACAAGGCAGGCAGAATCCTTGAATCCATGGGGAGCACAGTCCAGCAGGAGAGTCCACCCACTGGTCATGGGGACTGCAAGGGTCCTGAGTGCCAGGAGGGGTGGGGGAACGAGTGCTGGGGAGCACAGCCACAGAGCAGTGAGCAACCTAGGAGAGCAGTGCCTAACTCAGGAGGAAATGGCACTTAACCTAATGCCTGGAGAATGAGCAAGAGCTGGACAGCTAAAGTGAATGTTTGCTTTGTGATGAATTCGCTGAGCTGTTCATGTGTTCTGTATACTATTCTGTATACGTACTATACTTCTGGGTAAAAAGCAAAGTTCAAAAAAAAAAAAACACCCAAAAGAAAAAAGGGGTCACCTGACATTTAATAAAATGTCCTAACATGGAGCAGAATAGGACTGAGAGAGAGAGAGAGAAAGACACACACACACACATACACACACACACACACACACGGGGGACAGGGAGGGGGAAAAGCATGAATATCTAGGCCTAGGTCTAGCAGACAAGTAGTGCTCACAAAAGTCTGTTATCCTCATGACTGGAGGATTCTCTCCTAGGCTTATGCTGGAGTAAGCTGACCTGGTGTTACGGCCCTCTAGAACCCAGACTCCTCAAGATTTTTCAAGGTTTTCTGGGACAGCACTGAACTAGCCCCGGCCTGAGGTGGCCCTGGTACCAGACTACTGTAGGAAGCTGGAAAGGTGGCTGGCTGAGTACCCAACATTTGTCCTGAAGCATTTTCCAGAAAGGTTCCTCATCACAGTGTGAGGCTGGTTGGTCACCGACTTTTTAGAGATTCACTTACCAAGAAAGTCTTCCTTCCTTTTTTTTTTTTTTTTTTTTGAGGTGAGTGGTTATCAAGGATAGAAGGTTTGTAAAACAAGCCATGGCCACTCCAGCAAATATTAATATAGTACCTATATTTGTTAAAAGGGGAGGCTGAGTACGGTGGCTCACTCCTTTAATCCCAGCAGTTTGGGAGGCAGAAGCAGGAGGACTGCTTGAGCCCAGAAGTTTGAGACCAGCCTGGAAGCAGAGAAAGACCTTGTCTCTACAAAAATAAATTAGCCAAATATGGTGGTACAAGTCTGTAGTCCCAGCTACTGGGAAGGCTGAGGCAGAAAGATCGCCTGAGCCCAGGAAGTCGAGGTTGCAGTGAGCTGTGATCATGCCACTGCACTCCAGCATGAGTGGCAGAGTGAGACTCCGATTTAAAAAAAAAAGAACTCCGAGAGTACCTTGGAATTCACATACTTTATTCAGAAAATAGTTAACTGAGTTGCTACTTTGAGTCTGGCCTGATCTTGGAGACATAAAACAGAAAAGATGCAACCCCTGCCCTCCACAAACTCACAGCCTAAAAGGGAAACAGCATGTACACAGGTAACCAGGGGGTGGCATGACAGGTGCTATTCCAGTGGTGTGTGATGTGATGGGCACAGAAAGGAAGCATCAAACAATTCTCGTGCATGCTTCCTGTTAAATGAAGACCAATTAGAATGAGAACAAAGAAAAATTATCTGTGGTATTAAAATATAAATCTTAAGAGAAAATAACTCATCATGCACTGCTGTGTATAACAAAGTTTATTGCAAGAAGTGGAGAATGCCCATCTATTTTTTTTTCTTTGAGTTGGAGCCTCACTCCATTGCCCAGGTTGGAGTGCAGTGGCATGCTCACGGCCATCCCAGTGTCAACCCGCTGGACTCCGGCGATCCACCCGCCTCTGCCTTCCAAGTAGCTGGAACTAAGGCACGCACTACCACACCCGGCTCATTTTTTATTTTTATTGTAGAGAGGTGGGCTCGTCAAGTTGCCGGGGCTGGTCTTGAACCTGTGGGCTCAGGCAATCCACTCGCCTCAGCCTCCCAAAGTGCTGGGATGACAGGCTGAGCCACCGAGCCTGGCCAAGGATGCCCATCTTGTAACTGCCTTTGGGTAATCAAACCCACCAAAATTGATAATTCCCTTCCAGTGAGTCCTTACCTGGTGTTTTAGATAAGTTCCTTTGGACAAGCGGACCACTGATAAATTGAGAAAAAGGGGTTTTGCTATGAGACAATCTGCATGAATGGGAAAGGGAACTGGCCCGCTGGAAGGATTTATCTGGGGACTGGGAACCAATCCTTTCTGGCCTCCTTCTCACGTGTTTTTGTTCTTCTCCATGGGCCTTACCCATTGCTAATTCTAATGGCCTTATTCTCTCCCCCTATTCTACATAGCTTTTCTCTACCCAACACTCTGCTTCCTCAGAACTCCTCCAATATCCCTTCTGTTTCAGCACTTGCACTATTGTTTCTTGGTATTTCCTAGTTCACATTTCCCAGAGATAGGGAATCTGATCTGCCTTCCTTATCAACTTGTACCTGTGAGTTGAGTGTGTGTTATTCAGCTGTCTGATCCTGGATGAATTGGCTATAGCTGGGGGAAGATGTAAAACACGACCACCTCAAGCTGTCCTTCACCAGTGGGAAATGGGGCCATAAGCAATTACTGATGTCTGCCACATCTTTAAGTACTTTCAGGGCAAGGGAATAAAACCAGGTCTTGGCTGGGTGCTGTGATTCAAGCCTGTAATCCCAGCACTTTGAGAGGCCGAGGTGAGGGGATTGCCTGAGTTCATGGGTTTGAGAACAGCCTGGGCAACTTGGCGAGACCTAATTTCTACAACAAATCAAAAAATTAGCCGGGCGTTGTAGAGCATGCCTGTAGTTCTGGCTACTTGGAAGGTTGAAGCGGAAGGATCGCCTGAGCCCAGCAGGTTGACAATAGGGTGGCTGTAAGTGTGCCACTGCACTCCAGACTGGGTGACAGAGTGAGACTCCAACTCCAAAAACAAACAAACCAGGTCTTCTTGCATTTCTCTTAAGTGCAGAACTTCTCACACTGTATTGTAACTATCTGTCTATCTTCCTCAGAAGACTGTAAGCCTCTCTAGAGTTTATACCACATCATATCCATTTTAAAACTCCCCATGCCCAGCATAGGTAGTGGCACATAGTGTTTAGCCAATATTTGTTAAATGAATGTCCTTCCTTCCCATGTGTGTCTCCCTCCCTTCCTGCTCTTCCAATAACATCATATACATAGCAGATAAAATATGAAATGTAATGTTTCCATTTTATGCATATTTTCTAGTTAAAAAACCTCCCCATTACTAGGTTCAACTCTTCTATGAAATGTTGTCAGATTCCCCCACTAGATTTAAGTGCTCTGTACTTCGTGTGTCTACACCTGCTCGTACCATTAGTACAGACGGCCTCATAGTTTAATCACTTATAGGCTCTCAGCCAGAAGATAGTAAGCCTTCTTAGGATAGAGAATGTGACTCATTTATATTTGTGTTCACCCCAGGACCTAGTAGATACTCACTAAACATATGCTGAACTGAATAGCCACCAGAAGCAAACTTTGTGTGGGTTTCCCAATAGCATGGTTGGATTTGTACATATCTACCCTGACTTCTTTTTGACAACTTGAATACATTTATGAGAGAGCTGGTCAAAGCCAGGGGTGCAGACTGAGGTCATTAAACAAAGAAAAAACTAACAGTCCCTTATGGGGACGTACCCCTGACCTGGATCTCATTAGCACCATCTGACAACCAACTGAGCCAACCAGCCAGTGTTTCATAACTCTTAATGATACAGGCTCACTTTGAGAATCAGGTTCATTTTTTTTAATGACATAATAGGAAAATGATCACAGGCCATGAGGTAGGAAAGGAGAGTGGATAATGAGGAAGGGGAAGTAAGAGAATGACACCACAGGGGACGTTCATATGAGGAAAGATCTGAAAGATAGGGAAGAACAAAGAAGATCCAGAAGGGAGAAAGTAAAGGGGAATGGAGCCTGGGTTTCAACGATGGAGTTTTTATTCACCTATTCCATTATTCCAAGAACAAGAAAATAATCCATGAATCTAGAAAGCAAGATCTGTAGGGTAATAAAGAGATGCACCTCTCGGCTGCGTATATATTCTTCAGCTGTGGCTTTCACTATTAAAGGTTACAAGTGAAACAAATAACATGGAAACATTTTTTTCCCTACAAAAAAATGTAGTAAGAAGATTTGGGGTTTGTAAAACACATGCTAGAATCAAACTGTGAAGGCTTTCTAGTCACTGGACCAATAACTTACCCAATGATTTGCCACTGCCTGCTTAAGCACATTTATGGAGATCTGAAATCTGATTTGAATGTACCCAACATGTCAAAGACCAGATACTGGATTAGACGTTTCGTTGATTTACCCTAATATGGAAATATCTCAGATGATGATAGGTGCTAAGAATTAACCTTACGTAAAAGTGTCTGAATTTATATTCTCTGACATAACAAAATGATAAACATGCTATCAAATGCTGTTTATACAAGGAAAACTGATTTTTTTTTTGGCTAAGAAAGACAGCAAGATGCATACTTTTAATTTTTTAAATTTACTCTCTGGGGACAAAGCCATTCAGCAATGCTTAATCTGATATTTTTTCCAATTACATTAGAAAGCACTAACAAATGTATCACTTTTTTAACTCTGCTTTGTAACACTCGAGTGCTTACTACTTGATGTGCCATTTAAAGGATAATTAATGGATAAACTAAAAGGATAATTATTATGGAGTTTAATATAGTAGGCAAAATGCTCACTAATCCTTACAAGCATAGCTTCGTTATTATCATTAACTTAAAAAAATACCACAGGGAACTGGTATTTACCACCACATTAACTATGTATTATATACCCACACTATATGTTTCTGCAACAATTTTTTGTTTATTTCACAAATAAACTTTATTTTAAAATAGCAAGTCTTGTTGACTACTCAATATTCTGGAAAATTAGACTTATAACCTTCATCATTTTTCCTCTCTTCCCAGGGTTTAAAACTACTTTTAGCAAAAGTTTAGCAAACTTTTGGATGTGTTACAGCATATTAATTAACTATCAAATAGATTTTTAAAATTATAAACATAAAAAAAGACATACAGAAAAGGATATACAAAATGACACTGAAATTAATCAAGATTAAAGAGACAACATGAATGTAAATAAATATGTCAATTTTCTGCAATGCTATTTAAATAATCAATAAAAATATCTTATGGAACATTTGGCATATAACTGACTCTTAATAAACCTCAGACATCATAACTTGCCCAGCATTTATTTAAAAAGCCCTAATTACCAAAAAAGGAAATGCACCAAATGTTAATAAGATTCTGTCTGGTGGTAGGTAGGTTAGTGGTGATGTCCTCCCCCTTCTATATTTTTTATTGTAAGTTTGTATTTTTAAAAAAGCCCAAAACTTTCTTTTAAAAAAAGAATATATATATATATATATATATATATATCATATGTCCATTTGTCTTTCTTTTGTGAATGAGATAGAAACATTAAAAATTTTTTTTTAGCTGGGCTCGGTGGCTCAGCCTGTAATTCCACGCCTTTGGGAGGCTGAGGTGAGTGGATTGCCTGAGCCCGCGGGTTTGAGACCCCCCTGGGCAGCGAGACCTCATCTCTACAATAAATTAAAAAATCAGCTGGGCGCGGTAGCACATGCCTGTAATTCCGGCTACTTGGAAGGCTGAGGCAGAAGGATCGCCAGAGCCAAGCAGGTCGAGACTGTGGTGGCCGGGAGTGGCCACTGCACTCCAGTCTGGGCGACAGAGTGGGACTCCAACTCAAAAAAAAAAAAATATTAAACATTCTTTAAGGATACTTTAATGGGGATGCCCTGGGATATTCTGGGGGAGGAAAATACATGGATGTTATTTGTCTGATTTTTCCAGAGTATCAATTAGCTTATAAGATTTGTTGCTTACTTGGATGGACTTAGAATCTATAATACTGAGTGATCTATCACAGAAACAAAGAACCAAGTATCACATGTTCTTGCTCATAAGTGGACCTTGAACAATTATCGTAATACTATAAGAAAGGGATTGGCAGTAGTGAGAAACTGCCAGGGGAGGGCAGAGGCGGGATTGTCAGTAGT